CACTAAACGTTTACGTAATGTCAGAATGCCTTTTAATTTGTTTTTAGCATTAATCAATTTTTAAACGATCTTTGAAATTGCTCATAGTGCCGCAAAGAACGGAATGACTTACTTTTGAGTAGTTAAGTTGTTAATTGAAGATGTAGTTGGCAGCCCATGTTGGTTGTCTGGATTCATTAAAAGGGAGTACAGTGGTTGATGGGAGACTAGGCTGGTAGAAGGTATGCTTAAATGGAAAATATCTATCCTAAAGTTTAATGAGCCCTTCTTTACATTCATAATCGCACGACCTCGACACTGGGCGTCACACTAGTCAGAAGTGCCTGTTGACGTTCCATTCTGAATCTTGAGCAAAACTCCTCGTTGGTTAGGAATGGTGGAACTTTTATGATATAATGAAATAGAGATGCAGTGTTTTGCTAGTGAATTCGTACCACCTTACCAGCCTCAAACATTATCTTCAGTGACCGAATGGAATTTCTATCATTGGAAGTGTGCCCTCACCTCCTGTGTTCCCCATAGATGTTGTATAGCTTGTTTTAAGTGGTGGTGAGAATTCCTTTGCAAAACACTGCAATTTGGTAGAAAGTGACTTTTCTATTATCCTTTTCATGATTGCTTGCTGTTTGATCCACTAAAGTTTGCTTCATGTGTTAGGCCTAATCCCCCATTGAAGGGGAATATCAATCTAAAATTTTGATAATTGATGCACACCTATCTGTTACTGGGGTTGCCACCTTTGCATTTAATAAAAAAATGACAAATATTCTAAATAGACCATCAGTCAAGGCACCAATTAACATTATGAATGTGACCTTCTGCTTTTGACTTATGGAATAGAGTGATATTAGCTGGTCTAAGGCTTTATTGCATAAAAATATCTTAACAAGTTTAAAATATGGTCAAAACAGTGTCTCTATGAGGACCATTTCACAATATGGAAATTGCACCTGGAATGTGTACTGTCCATACTATGAGGTTATTATGAATGTGTGGCAACCCTATCTGTTACTATTATGTATTTTAATGAGTTCACTTAGTAAGTCTTATAGATGTTTCATTAATTTGTACTCTCAAAATTAGAAATAAAAAGTAAAATAGAGTTTCATAAGATAATGATTGAGTCATGATTTTTTGGGCCTAGCTCCTGTCAGACTCACCAAAAAGTGGCAAAATATATCATTTTTACAATGATTGAACCATCCTCTTCTATGAAACAGGTATTTCAAACTCAACCCTTCCACAAATGAATTCACAGCCTCCTCTGATATGAGTCTACTTAAGGAACTAAAGCGGAAGGAATGTCCTGAGTGTGGAAGGTCCATTGTGGTCACCAGCCTATATCGGCACTTAAAGGTCAAGCATGGCTCCACCTTCACATCCAAAAATAGTATATATGGAGGGAAAGAGTGCCCTATTTGTAAAGAAACATTCCATCCAAACTCATTGAACCGTCACATTCAAGCCAAACATGGATGCATCACCAGTGAACAAAGTGTGTCACCTAGAGCAGCAACATATGAATTTGATTCTGTCCAAGGTATTCCTCAGTTTGGCATAATAGGTATTGAGTGAATGCATGTGATCAGTATTTATTCATCGGTGCAGACCCAGATCAAGTATGGCTTTCTCTGTCTCATTTTAGGATATCATGAGAGTTTGAACTTTAGTTTTCTCAGCTTGTCAGCAGCTAGCTGTTGTAAATTGTCAGAAGTATATTCCTTTTGGGGTTTCTAGTCCCTTTCTAGAGTTTTATCTCAGTGATGTCAGATTAGGAAAAATATTTTGTGAGATGCGAGACTCCTTGCATATATAGGTTTTGTTGACAGTGGTGCTGGAATCAGGTAGTCCCCATCTAGGGCATCCTTGACAAGATAGTTTCAGGCCTCAAAAGTAGCCCTGGAAGTTCCAAGTGTAAACATCTGATTCTCATAATGAATCACACAATTGGCCTTGGCCTACATGAGGTATATTAGAGGAGTGAGTGTGGATCTCTTGTTGTAGAAAATTTATCCCCTACAGTCAGGGTATTCAAGTACCATATAGGTCTACCAGCATCCAAAGCTTATGTGTAGCCCAAAAATTTTTGTATAGTTTGCTTATTTTTGCAAAGGTTGTAACTGAATGAAAATAGCTGATCAGTGGTGTAAGAACAGCAAAGCTCAATGCATCAACTTAGTGAAGTGGTGGTACAAGTATGAAAATGCTTAATGTGTTCAAGACTTTGTTCTTTCTTTGCTTTTGTATAAAAAATAATCAATACTTTCAATGCATTGCAACTGTACACCAACTTATGGGCCACCCTGCATCTAGTCATTAGCCTAGAAAAGTAATTACCAGATGTTGATTAATAAAGATTGAGGATGAACTAACCATGAACTAACAAGAGCTAATCTTTCTTCATTCCAGAGTTCCAGCAATGGCAAAGAGAAGATGAACTCCAGTCATTATGCCATTATGTTAAAATCAGGGGTGACAAGAAAAGGAAGAACTACACTGTGCACTATTTTGGCTGCAACCGGAGTGGAACCTTCAAATCGAGGGGAAAGGGTTTGCGTCACCTCAAAGCACAAGGATCGAAAAAATGTGGACAAAAGTGTCCTGCTGGCTTCTTGGCCAGACTGCATCAGTCAGGTGATTTTTAGTTATGTTTTTCCTGTTATCATATTGAAATTGGACTCCAATCCCATACACTTCTTTCAGTTGCAGACAGTGACATCTTTTGCATGAATCATCTTGTGACATCTTTTTGGATCATCTGATGAAGTGGTACCTTTGGAAGTATGGTCATTTGTGCAAATGTCAACCCAAATCATTAAATCTGACCTTCGGATAGCCCAGAACTTTGCTACTTTTTCTCTTTTTTTTTTTTCCAAGACAAGGTAATTCATCTTAGAATCATTATGTTTAGTTTTTTGTGCCATTGTCTTGTTGTGGTTTTGTAGTTCTCCTCTGTGGTAGTGATTTAATTGGCATATGGTAAAAAAATATTGAAAACATGTAATGATCATCAATTCATTGAACAGAGCCTATAAGAATAATGAGTGTCTTTCTTGACAGTTAAATTAAATTGCAGGCTTTTTTCCATTAATATTCTGAAGTCCAAATTGCAATTTTTAAAAGTGCCTAGGAACAAGAGGGAAGATCACAGAGCTAAAGGAGGGGAATGAGAAGAAAGTTAGCTCTCACCATTCCTAAATTTTCTGTTTTCATGTGAATAATGCAACATCAATTGGATTGTAGTAGCTTTGATAATTATGATATAAGAATATTTAAGGACTTGAGAACTTGTACTGAGAACCCTTTGTAATAGGATTGGACATTTGGAGGCACTTGAAAATTACGTGTGAAACACATTATTTCAATTGTTTTTTTGGGCCCTAAGTTATGAGAATAAGAATGGAATGGCTCCTTGGTGCGTTCTCCTTACTCTAATAACCAGGGGGTATGAATTCAATACAAAAACAAGTCTGCATGTGGAATTTAAACCCTGGATGATTGAACAGCCATAGGTAAATGTTGTAAGCTGTTTATTGTCTGTTTCATCAGGAAATGTCGATCTCAGCTTCTTATGTTATGATCAGCTTTAACAGAAAGTATTTCTTGCCATTGAAATGTGCTGAGCATTTTCATTTTCAATAAGTCACGCCATGGCATCTTTCAGGTCGTGTTGAAGTGCAATGTGTCAACAGTCACATTGAGCATGACCGGCGTCTGGATGTTCTGCCACTGTCAAAAAAAGAAAGAGATGAAGTGGCAGGAATGCTTCAACAAGGACTCCCATTTGAAATGGTGCACTTTCTTTTCTATATGTTCATTTGCACACTGGTCAAAGTAATAGAAACCCCCAGCTAAGTACAATGAATGCTCCCAGCCTGCAAACAATGCAAACTCATCACATGACATTACATTGTCACCTGTGACAAGTATAAATACAGGTAACTCCACCTGTTCAGTCTGTTAATATAATCCATGGTGGCCTTAGACACAAGACAAGGTTTCCATTATTTTGACCTGTGGGGATATTTATTCATGTTTCTTTTCCTAATATCTTCTTGGTCTTTCTCATTGCTACTGACAGCATCTATCCTCATGTATGCAAATTGATTTCATATAGGTCCTTCATCGAGTACAGAACATGTCATCACCACTGGAGAGAAAGGCCCTCATCACCCGGAAGGATCTGCACAACATAATGGCTAATTATGGCCTGAAAAAGAAGTGTGACAAGATGAATCAGAATGACAGCATGCATGTGCCAAGTGATGAAAAGACAGGCTTTGTTCAGTCTCAGCATGATGTCCTGATGGCAGAAGCTGATTTGCATCTCAACTCAACCCATTCCTCTCTTGAAAGTGAGAGTGCAAACACCTCAAAGGCTCGAACTTCGACTGGTGCTTCTAGTGAACTTCTCCTGAAACTGAACATGGTTGGAGTGGAAGACAAGGCAAATAAAAATAAGTTGCATGGAGTCATTAACTTTGCGGAACTCTGCACAGAAGATGGACGGAGTTGTGTTGTGTATAAACAAAAGCTGCAACTTCCAGCAAATAAATTTGATGAAATGCTGCAAACTCCAGATAGACAAGGTCCAATGAGGACAACAGACTTGAAAAGTTGCTTGAAGGTACAGCAGAAGTCATCATCTAAAGTTCTCACAGGAGAGGCTTTTAACCTAAAGCAGGATGTTCCTGGCCAATATGCATTGTTCTTGCTTGAGCACAATTATGCACGTTCCAATCATTCCAATGCCTTTTCCTGAAGTGCTACATGTTCACTTTTTTGTCAGGTTTTTACATCTGTGTCTTTGCCTACAGTGATCCTGGTAGAGTGGGCCATCTCACTCCCACAAGAGAGGGTGAGAGTGGGATTTCAATCTAAGAATGCACTGCCAAACCTTCCTCAGCTGCAATTTTTGCATCAAACTCTCCCACAGGACTGAGATGCCTCTCACTTGTTCCCAGTGCTTTCATTTCTATCTGAAGAATTTCCTCCTTGAATATTCAAAGTCAAGGATTTAGCTGTTACCATTTGTACCTTCACTGGAAATGTCAATGGGCAATTGCGATTCTAGTGTATTCTTTCGTAAAGGTGTGCCTCTTTCAAGTGAAATCTCTTTTATTAATTACTCCAGTGGCTTTCCATTGTTCACAGAAGGAGGAGGCTTTTGGATAGTCTGACTCCTTGGGAACTGAGCCATTCTACAATGAAAGGGTTAAACTATTTTACAGACTAAATCTTTGCTAATTCAAAACTGGAGAAGCTGCTTGGCTGTTGTGTAAAGTTGCAGACAGTTCATGAATTCCCAAAAATTTAAGAATTTCTAAATTTGTCCCAAGCATCCATTTTTTGCCTATTCAGGGGAAACATATGCAATATCTTGTGCCACAGGGTCACATAGTGGCAGGAGGTTCCCATTTGATTTGACAAAATTGGCTTGAGTGGAAAAATAAATACCATTTGTTTGAGGCCTTGAAAAAGAATGGGGTAGATGACCTCCCAAGCTCCCTTTGTGGTGGAAATTTTGCTTTAATCTGTCTTCAGCAAAAGACTTTCCGCCTCTCAGAGGAACCTGCTGATTTACTTGCTGTATTTTTCAGCATCCAGAGTTGCCTGGTTTAGCATGTTTTTCAAGAAAACATCCTAAACCCAGCTTAAGCCAATTTCTTAAGACATTAAAACAAAATTTCCTCTCAATATGGAGCTTGGGAGGTCATCTACCCCACCCATTTTCATGGCTGCACACAAATGGTATTATTTATTTTCCACTTGCTAATATACTTTTCCCTTGCTGCATAACTCTCTTCATTAATTTTTTAAACCATCTTTTTCGTATGGTTTTTATTTTAGCTTCTCTGCATAACACTTGAAGTACTGAGGAAATCATTTTGACTACTTGCTGATTTTTAATGCACTTTACTCTGCTCATTCGGCAACTACAGGCTGCCTTACTTTTCCTATCTACTATTGACATTTTAATATGCAAAATTACATCTGGAAAATCAAATAAAATTTCACAGAATACTAGTTTTGTTCTACTTGTAATGCAGCAGTCAAATTGACCACTCCAGTCCTTCTAGTGTTAAAATCCCACAGAACAAGCCCAAAGTAAGTATTGTCCCATCAGTGATTTCCTGCTTGCCCATTAGCAACAAATAATGGAAAGGATCCAGTCATGAACGAATCCCCCTAATTCAGGTGTAAAAGAGATTCAGCATGTTTTTTTTCCCTCCACAGCATTTTTTTTTTTAGCCCTATTGAATCTGGAAACCCTCTGGTCCTTGCATCACATGGTCTGTTTTCCGTCGCCATTTTGCTGTGTTTGCTGATTCATTGAGATCTGATATGTGTGGTGTTCTACCCTGTGATAGCATAAGCTTGTTCCTTGTGTGATATTGTCTCCAGAAACATGAATGTAGATGATAAATTTTTTATTATCTCAAAATGTGATTACTACGGTTATTATGAGCATATAAACTTTCTGAGCCTGAGTGGGGGATGGCTTACCTTGCCCAAAGACTAGATAACCCTGAGAATTTGTGCTTGACTGAGATTTAGCCCTTTTGGGAGTATGGACACACCAGTACGTCCAGCTCCTTACTATGCGAATGGCTCTGGCCATTTGGGTAAGGCCAACTTTTGGCTGCATGTGAGAATCATGTGGCCTATCCTCTACTGCTTTGTGCTGCCATCTACAGTCCTTTGTCCTATCATGACCTGAAATTAAGTTCTAAGCATGTTTAATTCCGTTCTGCATATTCGTTACTTCCTCCAAAATCCAAGCTTCCCTAGCACACACACACTTACAGAAACGCCCACTCCTGCATATGTTAATCCCCTTTGTTTCTGGCATGTTAATTCTGAGGCTTCCTACCCAATTTGCATTGCTCAAGCATCTCATTTGGATGAATACGTTGCTGACATTTTTTCCCATTCGGCTTGCTATTTGTCATTTGTAGTCCATGAAGGTAAAGCTATGATGACATGTGTCCTCGCATACCTGGCTCCACCCAGGGACCTTACATGTACAAGGTATGGCAATTATATTCCAGGACTGAATGTTTTACGCACATGGCAACATGACAAAAATTATTGTCTTGCTATGGACTGATATGTTAAGACTGTTTGATAGTGTTATGTCAGTCCTAGTCTGACTAGTATAATAAATGAGAGATGGACTGGCAATGCATCAACTTAGTTTGTAAGGCGTCTCATGTATTCCCGGAGTGAGGCTCCGAGGTTTCATCTAGTTTTGTCTCAAACCGAAGAAAACAGCAGCAGCGATCCATCAAATGTTGCAAAAGTGCATTCACCAGTTTCCTTGTCACGCCCCTAGAATTTATACTGGTTTTCAAGGCTTCCAGCAAGTATGGAAGACACTGAAGACGATGATGAAGATGGCCATCCACCAGTCGTGATACGGTGACGGCGGCGTCGCATCTGCCTCCTGCCACCTGCTCGAAGCCTCTTCCTTTGCATCATTCAAGACTCAAGGTGTGTGACAAGGTATGTCCCTTCCATACATTTGTTGCAGCATTTTTTTTGCGTCCCTGGTGCTGTTTCCTCCAGCGTCGAATAGAAAAATTGTTGAGGCATTGCTTCAGTCTATAAATGCGACAGGGATTTTGCTTGTGAGTTGCCAAATCTCCAGCCAATCTCATCTGAGAAGGTTGTCAGATGAGGACTTCTACAACACTACCCAACAGGTAATTGTATCAATCTGAGGAGTGGCAAGAATTGTAGTGATGCCACCGTGCACGTAAAAAAAAAAAATAAATAAAGTCCCTGGAACTTTATTCTCACACGTCGTATAGCCTGGAAAAATTGTTTGTGCTCTTCCATTGCCGTCTGTTGTGTTAGAATATCGAGTGCGTGAAACTGAAATATGAAAATGGCCCAAAGCGAATCCAAGAGTGTTCAAAGGTGTTCCAACTCCCTTTTAATGCCGCATATTCAATCGAGCATCATCGATGGAACCGATCGGCGGAACATCGGTTTATGACGCGTGCCTGATGATCTTGAATCGCACGAAAGCCGTCAAGGTTCGTAGAAAGGGAAAGCCCAGCCACCAGAGGAAAGTCCAGACTCTGACGTAATGATTCCTTCCGACTTTCTCTCACGGAGGCATCGAGAAGAAGGATTGCCTTCTTCCGACGTCGCCTCCAAGCCTTCCTCTTCCCTCTGACACTGGCTTCCTCCATGACGGATCGATTCCCTGTCTTGCAAGGGACATCGGGGCATTCATACTACCCTCTTTCATCAAAAGTTATGTCGATACGTGGAAAATGTAAATAGAAGCTATGCCTCTCCGCCAAGGACAGTGAAGTACAAAGACTGGCAGAATGGTGAAGCGAATGTGACGGAGATTAAGTCCCGCCACGATTTTGCCAATAATCGAAACTCGAAAATCCAAGAACTTCTTAGCTCAGATTCTATTCTTCCAACGGCGACGTAGACACACGGTAAGCAAAGTATTGCCTCGTCGTTTTGGATTACATCCAAACGATGTATCCGGAGTCCTCTCACCGAAGCCATGCGGCGAAAAAATCCAGGACGAGACTCGAGATCGTTCCGACCCGTCTCGCCCCACCTTGCCTAATGGACTCGAGGCGGAGACGAAAACGGAGCTGCCCCTCCCCTTAACGAGCGTGCAAACGCGGAAGCCGCCGCCGAAGCCTCCCGGGAGAAATCGCCTCACCCGTTCGAACCGGCGTCTCCCCGGAGCGGCAGCGGCATGCGAGGAAGGGAGGAGCTCCCGAAGCGGACGTCCTTTATCATCATCACTCCCAAGGTGAAGGCTGAAATAGATTGCGAAATGCGGAGCCTCCGGTGAGGCACGTTCTCCATCGGCTCCATCTCATCCCCGTCGAAGGCTTTTTCTCTACGTTCCCACGCGTCCGAGCATTATTATACGCCGTATACTCTCTCCTTCGTCAACATCATTAATATTCGAGTCACCCGCAATGCAAAGAAAGATGGAAGCACGAATAGGCACGTGTAGGACTCTCTTCTTCATTGACTGTCGTAAAAAAAAAAATTCAAGGGATACTTATAAGAAAAGAACGGGTTTGGCAAACATTACCGGGCACGAATTTGTATCACTGTCACTCAGACTAATGCATGAACTCCCAACTCGAAAATTTTTTCTCTGCAGTCCAACAGCTCCCATCTGGCAGATCCAATGTTTCCTTTTGTTCTAACGAACCTCGCCCTGCCCTCTAACGAACCTCTTACCCCGAAAACGCTGAAAAGCACTCAGCAAAAAAAAAAAAAAAAATTGGCTTCGACGAGCATCTCGAGCCCTGCATTTGCTCCAGCATTTCCACAGCCCCACCAAAGCATTCCAACCTCACGGAGAAAGTGACGAAAGGCATCGAATTTGAAGATGAAAGGCTGGAACGTGAAATAGGGAGGAACTTTTTTCAGCCATGCCATTCCGTTCCGCTTCCAATCCCAAATTGACCTTTTTTTTTCATTCACATTCCGTGCCCACTCCCAGAGCGTACCATCATTTCTTTTAAAACATTTTTTGCATGACGAAGCGAGACCAAATCTGAAATTAGGGCAAAAAAAAAGCAAGAGCGAAGAAGAAACTACTTCGTTCACGAAGTCTCCGACGAATAATGCAAAAATAACAACTGTCAGACAGTTTCTGGCTCCGCCTCTCAACGATGCGTCCAACAGAGCTAAATTCTCTCTGCCACACTTCATTCCCAAGTCCCAGTCCCGATCCCAGCCTCGATCCTAGCCCCGATCCCAGTTCAAGTCCTCGTCCCGGCCCTTTCGACCTCGAGGATTTATTCGGTCTCGAGCATCGGAAATCCCGAAACGGTTTCACAACCATCCATGCACGTCTCCTCCGACATTAAACCGATGAAGTCCTTGAATTTCGCCTACATCACGTCGCAAGGAGCAACGATGACTCGAAAAGACACGAGTCAAACCGTGTCAAGAGGTCATTCTTTCCCAACGCGACACTCATCGAAAACGGACGGAGAACTCTCGCTCTCGCGAGTGGGCTCGCCCTGGTGATCTGCCTCCTTCCATCCCTCCAAGCCTTTCGGCCTTTCGGCCTTTCCGCCTTTCCATCCGAGGGAACAGAGGGAACCGGGCCTCGATCCGTCCCGAGGTGATTCCCCTCGTCCGCGGTGGACCGAGGGATCGATAGAGATTCCACCTCCCACGTCGCCGACGGTGGAAGCGTCGGGGCGTGCCCGTCGCCGTGTTTACGGGCGAACCCCGTAATACTTGCCCAACGCACGCCTCTCCATATCTGGAAAAAAAAATTCTCGCAAGAGAGAGGAAATCGATGAATGGATGAACGTGAAAGTCCGGAAACGGCGAGGCCACCTTTTTTTCCCCTCGCCCTTGCTATCTCGACGGAGTCGGGGTGGATCCCACAGACCACTTCATCACGGCCAGACAGCTCGTCTGGAAACTCCGGAGTTCATCGGGTCCATTTTCCTCACGCCCCCCTCTTGCCCCTGCACGCCCCTTTAATGCCCCCTCTTACTTCTCCCCCCCCCACCCCCCCTCATAGATCTGCGGACCATCTTGTACGAACTGTTCTTTTCTCCCTCGACCGAATGATGTCCATCCTTTCATCAGCTGCCACACACAACTTGTCACTCTTACGCAACCTGCCATTCCCCCTTTTTCCAGCCGTAATTAGCATAGCATTGTCCATACGGACCCGAGTGACGAAGTCCTTTCTCTCTCCCTCTCTCGACGGTGACGACACGGAATCCCGACGCGGAGTCCCGTGCCCGATCGAACGCCCGTACGCGATCACGAGGCACGCACGACGGCCGATGTCGCAACGCGATCGAGAACCGATGGAATCCGGGGAAAGGAAAACGAAACGCGGCCTCGCCGTGCGACAAAAATACGCGCACTTGCAGGCAATAATTCCTCGGGAAACGGCACGTGACACGACGAACTCCGATCCGGGCAGAAAAATAACGGAACCGACTGTCGCCGACGCACCTGCTCGAACCGGAGACGCGATCCGCCGCGTTTCGTAACGCCTTCGCTCGCGAATGCGAGACGCGCTCGGCCGTCAAATCGCGAACAGGATGCGAAAGAAAGGATCGGTCGGAAATTTTCTGAAAGAAAATTCTTTTTGTCGGCGGAGGATCGCCTCCCCTCGTCAAAGAGATTGCTTAGTCAGCCGGTCTGGTTTACGCAGGTGGAAGAAGCAGAAACGGACAATACGGCGGAGTCATATCTCCGCCCCACGAGGCCCTCGAAACGGAGAATGAGGTCAGCGGAACACGGGTAGGGGGAGGAGGGCCTCGAGGAGCAGGGGCCCAGAGGAGCAGGGGCCTCGAGGAGCAGGGGACGAACTGCCGATCGACAGTCCGTGGAAGCCCTCAGATGGAGAAGGAAGTCGCTCGATATCGAGGAGATTCGGCGTTCGCGACCGGAACCTACGGCTTCGCTCAAGGTCACACGCGCTTATCGAGAATTCCCTCGAGAGGAATTAAAATAGAACGTTGAAGAGGGGCGCGACCGCCCGCGTCGAAATCCCAATATCGCTTCCGCCAGCGATGGCATCATTGTTTCCAGTCGGCGTGGGAAGTGCCTCCCGAGTGCCTCCCGAGTGCCTCCCGAGTGCCTCCCGAGTGCCTCCCCGATCTCCGGGGATGAGGGGAGGCGTTTCGCGAGATGATATCCCGCAATTTCCCGTGGGGAATCTCGGGACATTCTCGGGAGTCGACGTGCTCGTCCCACTCGTTTCCTGGACTTTTTTTTTTTTCAACCTGGAGATGGAGAGTGGGAACTCGATCCACGTCGTATATTTAAAAAAAAGAGGATTTCGAGCTTCATCTGGCATCCCGTTATACGAGAGAGATTTTTTTGCATTCGGCACTTGTAAGGCCGCCCTTTAAGTGCCGGCTTCATTTTAGGGCCTGATTTTTTTTTTTTCGCGAGGGGGAAATGGGAGGAGAAGATAGGGGGGAAGTAAATTTGAGGGAAATGATGAACTCTAATCCTACCGGCTCCGGGCCATAAATCTCCATCAGACGAGTTTGAAAAATTGTCTCCTTGAATCGTTGGCGGCCGACCCGCAGCTCCGCCGACGCCGTCGCGGAAACAATTCAAACACGAAAGAATGGCTAATAATAAAAAAAAAAGACGACTATAACGTAGGAATGAGGTTCCATCGAGGAAAAGGTGGATGAGGTGGGTTTCCCGGCGTTTCGTATTAAGGGTTTTGATGATGCGAAGTGTGACGGGTTCTTCCAACTGGGTGGCAACAGCAGAACGGAACCGGTACAAGTTACGTAAGTCCTCGAAGTCGAGGCATGGCCCTGCAACCCTGACGGACGGTGGACGGGTCAAATGCATTATATGTGAACGGGTCAAATGCATTATATGTGAACGTGGGGCTGCCACGACAGATTCCTTCGCGGGCAAAACAAA